TCCTATAAAAAGGGAAAGACATTCAAAGAATGAAACAGGGCTCTTGGATATATAAAAATATGATTGAGACTTTTTTTCTGCAAGTATATTTTTATTTTCAAAGCCCTTTTTGTGTTTGTTTAATGTCGCCTTGCTTTTCTAAAGAATTCTGTGGTATGCATTAGGGCTGCATACTCTCCTTTTGTTTCAGAGAATTTGGTAATTGTTGTGATTTTTCAATATTTTCTTCCTGCATGATTGCTCTTTTAAGTGTGTCTTAGTTTGTTGTTTGTTAGGTCAATGTTTCAGTAGGTTAAGGTGCTGTGCCATCAAAGGCCTAGGGGTTAGATATAAGTGGACTTTGTTAATATTTACAGATATGGAATTAAAAGCTGAGTGGCAGCTCTGTGGCTTTGGTGTAGGTTTGTCCACTGATTCTTCTCTGAAGGTGAACTCAGTTGAGCACCTTTCACGTACCGCTGCTATTGTTAGCGATTTTGAGGGCAGTTCTCTTGCACTGGTCAGCTCCCATAGAAAAGACTCTTACAGTCATGTGTTTGGAGGCATATGACTGGCTGTCAGCATTTGGGGAACTGCAAGGTGGGAAAAGTCTAGAAACCTCAAGCTTAAGTGAATAAATACATACTTAGTTCCTCAATTATACCTGGTGCCCCCCAGTTCAGGAAATAAACTTCTAGTCCTTCAGCTAAATTGAGTGGAGGGGGGAATCTGATGGACTAAGTGCCTCCAATGACATCCCCCAGTTTTTAGCCCCACCTTTATCTCTACTTTCATAGAAACCTAGTGCTACCAGTTCCCGAGACTCTTTGCATTCCTGGATGTAATCAGTGTTGCCTCTCAGCTTTTCCCACTGACAGTATAAAATGCTGTTTTCTCAAGTCTGCAAGGTCAATTGCCACTCATCCTCATGCTTTCCAGCTTCCAAAGTTGCTGCTGCCTCCTATCTCATTCTCTCTGTTTTTGTGATTTATTGTCTATTTAAAAAATTAATGGGTTTCAGAGAAGAATTGAAGACAAATGATCAATCCACCATTTTTAACTTGAAGTGATGGCTTGCAATTTCTATCATTGATTTCATGCAATATCACATTTCATGTTCTGCCATATTTCTGCCAATTTTGGTTTTTTTTCCTTCTCTAGGACATGACAAAATGTTACACTGAGGCATCACTCTCCTCCCTACCTCACCCTCCATCTGAACCCAGCTTCTAACACATTCTAAAGAGCCATACTTGTTGGTTTTGCACTTTTCCCCCAAGGGATATACTGTCCTCTCCTTGTCTAACAAAGGACTAGGGTATCTGTACCTGTGTATCAGGTACTCTATTACACTCAAGACAACTAGCCCCTGAAAGGAAGGTTTAGATATATATGCAAATATGGAGAAATGGCAAAAGCAAAAAATCTGCTTATTTAGGGTCAGAAGAAATCACTTTGAGTCCTGGGTCTACGGCTTACTTGTTACATGACTTGTCTGAGCCTAATGTTCTGATTCTTAAAAGAGATACTACTTATTTTCCAAGGTTGTGAAAGTGCAAAAAGATACATTACACTTGCAAAGTTCTGAATATACATATGCACAGATAGTTTCCTAGTTTAAGATAGTAGATTGAAACTCAGACAAATGTGTCCCTTAAGAAAAAAATAAAAATTTTTGAAACCAAATATGAAAGTAGCCAATAAACTTCAAAATCTAGCAACCATGAATAAGAACTGAAGAGTCTGAAAAGTCATGGATCCCAAACAAGCACCTCCACCCTCCTACCTTACCCAAAGACTAGTCTGATAAACCAACTGAAATGAGCCAAAGCCTGAGAATGTTTTCCATACAGGAATACCATAATCTGCCCCCACCTCCAACTAATTGGGGTGAACCTTAATGGGAGGCATTTAACAAGATCTCAGAAAGAAGCTAATGCCTAAATATGACAGAAGAGGGGAAGAGATAAGAGGGCAGTAGAGGGGAGGGGAGGAGAGGAAAAAAGAGGGGAGGGGAGAGAGGTTAGGAGGTTCTTATGGTCTGAATGTTTGTGTTTCCCCCAAATTCACATTAAAATTTAATCACCAATGAGGTAAGGGCCTTGGGAGGTGATGAGTTTATGAAAGCAGAACCCTCATGAGATTAGTGCCCTTATATAAAGAGGCCCCAGAAAGCTGGGACCTCTTGCCCATTCTACCATGTGAGGACACAGAGAGAAATTGCCCTCTATGAACCAGACAGTGAACTCTCACCAGACACCAAATCTGTTTGCACCTGGATCTTGGACTTCCTAGTCTCCAGAACTGTGAGAAATAAGTTTCTATTTTTTATAATCTACCTATTTTGTTATAACAGCCTAAATGGACTAAGACAAAGGTTATTAGCCAGGTACAGTGGCATGTACCTTTAGTGCCAGCTACTCGGGGAGGCTGAGGTGGAAGATAGCTTGGGCCCAGGAGTTCCAGGGCAGCCTGGGCAAGATAACAAGACTCTGTCTCAATGAATAAATTGGTAAATACATACATAAGTGAAAAAGAAATGTTAAAAGATAAAAGAAAAGACAAGGGTTATTACAGAAAATCTAGACAAGAGATTTTAGTGGCTTAGACCAGGATGGTGGACGATAGCAGTGGTAGTTATGAAAGATGATTAGATTCTGGACATGATTTGAAGGTACAGCCTAAAAGATTAGATTTGGATATGAGAGAAATAATGGAGTCACAGAAGATCACAAGTTTTTGGCCTGGAGAATTGAAAGCATAGAATTACCATTAATTGAGATAGGGAAGATTCTAAGACAGTAGGTTTAGGAAGGAGTGTAGGAGAAATATGGAGCTAGTTTTGAACATGTTATGTCTGAAACATCTATTGGACATTCAAGTATAGGTCATTCAAGTCACATAAGCAATTGGATATGTAAATGAGAAGTTCTGAGAAATCTGGACTAGAGATATAAATTTGGGAAGTGTCAGAATGTGTGTGTACGTATGTGTGTGTGTATGTGAGAGATAGAGATAGAGAGAGAGAGAGAGAGAGAGAGAGAGAGAGAGAGAGAGAGAGAGAGAGAGAGGGCTGTGTGAGTTTGTCATGAATTAGAAGGATGAGAGAAAAGAGAGATACTAAATACCTAAGGAAACACATAATTAAAACATCATTATGAAATCAAGTGATAAATTAGGATAATGAAAACCAAATTAGTCAATGCTGAAAATTAAATTGCTAACATAATGAAATTGTTTAAGATTATAAAAAAATACAGATAAAAAAGAGATTAAAACAATTAGGAGGTGCTAATAGATATGCAAGACAGAGAAAGAAAATCCAACATATGTATAATCAATTTCTTTACCAGTAGCGAGCGCAAGTAGAATCAAGTTAGCAATGTAGAAAGTATAAAAACGTTTGTTGAATAAACTAACATGAATGAAGTTTATTCATTTGGATGAATGAAGATTTTATATCTTACTTGCTAGTTTGGGTAGTATACATAATTAGCACTTCTAATGGAGAGTTTTCACTTATTTAAAGGACTACTTTTATGTCAATATTCTGGAGGGCAAAATTTGTCATAGGTAATTAATACAGTAGAATCTGGTTGTTGGTGTTTTTTTTTTTTTTCCTGGTTGTTTGAGAGTTCTCCATAGCCCAATTAAGAACTTAGTTACTAATGTCCATGTCATAAATACTTGAGACTAATAATGCCCTAGCATTTCTTTTTTTCACCAGTGATGTACTGTGCTTACCCAGATTCAGTTTTTTTGTTCCCAAACTGATCATGAGAGCTATACAATTGTAATAGTCATTTAACTTCATTGAATATTACATAAATCTATGAAATATGGAAGTGAAAAGGACATGATTTTTTTCTCAAAACCAAGTTGGGGAAATTTCTGATTAAGTTGCAGAAAGTTGGAAGATACCATTGCTCTCAACATAATTACCAAAACAAGCTAGATAAGATTTAAAATCATTGTAGAGCTGAGAATACAAAGAAACCTAAATTAACCATATTCCAGAAAATGTCATGTCCTTCATAGGGAGAAGAGACACATGGTTGCTGCTCTCATCCCTATTACGACAGCAGCAGGAGGAAGGATTCGACAGAAATAGGGATAAGGAGAGAAACATCTAATTTTTAAAGAACTTTTAATGGCTGAAATTGAGCAGATAGGACAGATTAGAATTCCAAGGAGCATCAGCCATAGACAGGTCTACATTTACCCACCAATTCTTTTGTAAGGTTCTCACTTAGGGCCCTATTTTCTTTGTAGACTGGGATCAAATTTTATTTCAGCGTTTCACATGGATATACCCAGTTGTTTCAATATCATTCACTGATTAGACCATTTCTTCCCTGTTGTTTCAGAATGACATTTTCATTTCTTATAAGCTCAACTTCTGTGTATACACAAATCTGTTGCTGCAGTTGCTGCTTTCTTCTATCGATCGATTCTTTATTCTTTATTATTCTTTTATTCAAAATGTCTGGATTAAGATAAAATATTATAAGGTGCAAACAGAAGCAGGAAAATATGCTCAAGAGAAGAAGCAATCAGTAGAAGCAGATTCAGAAATGTCCCACTTGTTGGACTTACCTTCCAAGGATTTTTAAAAAATAATGAAACAAATGCTAAAAGATGTAATGGAAATGGTGGAAAACATTCATGAAGACATGAGAATTTTAAGCAAAGACATGGAAACTATCAAATGGAATCAAACTGGGATAGAGGAGCAAGTCTGAGTGCTGCATGGGTGCTTGGCTCTTAGATCTCCACCCAGACAATCTCCATGGAGAGAGGGCAATGAGTTGAAAGAGAAGAAGGAGAAGGAGGTGGAGGTCAGGAAATGGAAGGGGAAGGGAAACAGAAAGGAGAGGAAGAGAAGGAAGAAGAGAAAGACCAGATAAGAGGAGGAGGAAGAAGAGGAGGAAGAGGAAGAAAGCACTATTTCATTAAAAGCTCTAACACATTGGGGCAAGGACAAATCTGAAAATGCATCAAATAGAGTGCAATGCAAATACCTGAAGATGTGTGTCCCTTTACCATGCTTCTTTGGCCCATGGAGAGATTCAGTGCATAGGAGATAGCCAGCACTTGGCAGAGCAATGGTAGAGCGAGGAGGGAACATCAGGTTCCTGAAAGGAGGCAGTGGTAGTTTCTGAGAGCAACGTGATGTTTGGTATACACTATAGTACCTAACAAGCAGAAGTGAAGGTTACTAAGTGTGCTAGCACCCCAATGGGAATAGTAGTACAGTTAATATCTCAAGATAGCTCACTCAGTTTAGACATATCTTCTGGAGACTCCCAGGAACATGTACTGAGGACTGAAAAGGTCCCTGAGGTCTTGCCTAGAGGTTTTGCCTTGAGGGCAAAAACAAAGACACCTAACACCTGGGTTATTACTGTTAATATTATTCCAGCTATATAATAGGCTGATGAGGCTGGCTTAAACTCAGATTTTGATAACTGAGATTTATTTCCCTTCTTCCAGAACTTTCATGATAGAGAAGAGTGGCTTATTTCCTTCCTGTGTGTAAAGTTGCTCAGTTGATATAACACAGCGCTTAAGGAATCAAAGAATATTTACCTTGTGTTAGAAAGTCTTATTGATCTAAACTAAGGTAGTGTTCTATTACACTAATGGTTCCATTTGTTCCTGAGAGAAATCAATGGACTTTTTCCTCCTATTTGGCATTCTTTTCCTCCCAGAGTTCAGCTTATTATGTGCAGCTATGCCTTTTCTATCTTCATTTATAAGAACTACTAGGAACTGCTTTATTTACCTGACATTTATTTAGACATTTTTTTGTTTTCAACTTACTTGGCTTTATTTCTGATGAAACTTGACTATACTTAATAGGTTTGTCTATTTCAATTAATGACTTAGTACTGCATTTTAACTTCACAAGATTGATTATAATCAACAGCTTTAAGGTCACCATACTTCAGCTTAGTTGCAGCATATTGATTCGAACAAATGATGCAATTCTGACAAAAAAAAAGAGGATTAAGTGTGTCCTTGAAACTGCGTTATATTCTTAGCCAAACCTTGATTGAAAGTTACTTTTTAGTAAAAGTAATCCAGGTGACTCATAGTACCAGGTCAAGTGTAAAAATAATATAGGGCCAGGCATGGCAGTTCATGCCTGTAATCCTAGCACGTTGGGAGGCAGAGGCTGGAAGATCACTTGAGGCCAGGAGTTTGAGACCAGTCTGAGCAGCACAGCAAGACCCCATCTCTTGTGAAAAAAAAATAGCTGGGCATGGTGGTGCACACCTATAGTCCTAGCTACTTGGGAATCTGAGGCAGGAAGATCCCTTGAGCCTAAGAGTTCAAGGATTTGGTGAGCCAGTGAGCTACAATCATGCTACTGTATTTCAGCCTGGGCAACAGAGTGGGACTCTGTCTTAAAAAAAAAAAAATATATATATATATATATATATATATATACACACACACACACACACATATATATGGAGAGAGACAGAGAGAGAGAGAGAATGAGAATGATTTCTTTCTACTCGTATACAATAGAATTTGATGGAGACTTTCATGTCATACAACATTTGCCATTTTTAACATTATTTGCAACAGGATTTGTATCCATAAGATAAAATATAACAGTGGTAATTACTGAATTCTTACTTATATCCAGTTTTTGTAAAAACAAAAGGACAAACCAAAACACTCAAGCTTACTTAGTCAAATAAGTGTATTCCTTAATATTTTGTGCAACTATATGTGCTTTTGGGGTATTGGTGGCTAATACCATACCATTCATAGTGGTACAAAGGTGGAAAACAAGTGAGAGGCATCTAGGACAACACAACTGCATTATGGGTGTATCTTGTTTGTAATATACAACAAATGCCAGATGTAAACGTGAACTCACAAAGTAAACCCATTAAGAGCTAATAATTTAATTTTCAAAAGGATTCACTGCTGAGTGCTTTTAAATTGTAGACTCTAAAAAGTAGTAAAATGCTTGCCACTTTTATTGCTAAAAGCAAAATACATGTACCGCTGGTACATTAAGACTGAGTCATGAATCTTACAAATACGTTCTAGGTCTTCTTTATAGGAAGGCTCCCCCCCAACCTCCACCAAAGCATTTTAAAACAAATGTACTTATTACTAACATTTTGTCCATATTTCTACCAAATTTGTCTGATTAGCTTGACATTCAGCAATGGCTGTAAAGTTGCTGCTGCTACTAATGACTTTTGTGGGTGTACCTGAGAAGGCATTTTATGAATAACGTACTGCAGTGGACCTGGGAGGGCAAAGCTCAGGGTCTCCTGCCTGAGAATAAGCTTTTTTGCATCCTGATTTTTCTTCAGTCAATGACTGTTACTCAGAGGTAGAAGCACTAAGAATAGCATTTTGTAGTTTCAGGTTTATTTACATATGCACTGTTTAAAACAATTTGTGATCTGGGCAAAGCTCATTTTTGAGATTCTGCTACCCTAACTAAGAAAAGATTCAAATGATGAACATAAAGTTAGAAATGAAGAGTTAAAAAATAAAACAAAACAACAACAAAAAACTTATTCTAGTGAAAACTTTTAGATTATTTTAAAAGAAATGTAATAGCAAAATGATTTCTTCTTTTTCTCACACTGACCCAAGTATAATTATTGATTTTGTTTTTCGTCTTTTATTTCTCTCTCTTTCTCTCTCTGGCTCTTTCTTCAAACAATTATAAGTGAAACTGATGGAATATTGTGCTCCATTAAGAATTCAAAAGAGGGCCGGTGGCGGTGGCTCACGCCTGTAATCCTAGCACTCTGGGAGGCCAAGGCGGGTGGATTGCTCAAGGTCAGGAGTTCAAAACCAGCCTGAGCAAGAGCGAGACCTCGTCTCTACTATAAACAGAAAGAAATTAATTGGCCAACTAATATATATAGAAAAAATTAGCCGGGCATGGTGGCGCATGCCTGTAGTCCTAGCTACTTGGGAGGCTGAGGCAGCAGGATTGCTCGAGCCCAGGAGTTTGAGGTTGCTGTGAGCTAGGCTGATGCCATGGCACTCATTCTAGCCTGGGTAACAAAGTGAGACTCTGCCTCAAAAAAAAAAAAAAAAAAGAATTCAAAAGAGATTTGTTCAAAATTAAAAACTTTTATGCTTTGGAGATACCATCAAGAAAGTGAAAAATCAGCTCACAGACTGGGACAAAATATTTGCAAGTTATATATCCAGTAAGGGACTCACATCCAGAATATACAAAGAACTCTCACAACTCATGAATAAGAAAAACCCCAACTAAAATTGGGCAAATGATTTGAATAGAGAATTATTCAAAGAAATACACAGATGGCCAATGAGAACATGAAACAATTGTCTGATTATTAGTTATTGGAAAATACAAATCAAAACCACTAGATCAATTATTTACCCACTAAAATGGCTATAATAAAAAAGATGAACAATAACAAGTATTGGTAAGGATGTGGTGAAACTGGAACTCTTATTCATTGCTGGTGGGAATGTATAATGATGTAGCCATTTTTGTAAAATAGGTTAGCAATTTTTTAAAAAGTAATACATAGGTTCAATAATTCTACTGTTAGGTATCTAACCCCCAAAATGAAAACATTAAGTCCACTCACAGACTTGTACAGGACTGTTTCTAACAGTATCAATAGCAATATCCAAAAAGCAGAAAACAATGTCATGTCCAAATGTTTATCATTGGATGAATGGATAAAATGTGATGCATGGACAATGGAATCCTATTCATCAACAAAAGGAAAAAAAAAAGACTGTACATGCTATAGTATGGATGAACTTTCATACCTCAAAAAAATCTCAGTGAAGAGTTTATTTCGTGGAAGTTATTTGGGTATTTTGATTTGGGGGAGCAGGAACAGATGAAGGGTGATAGAGCACAGGCTCTCCCATGTGCATTATTATTGGATGGCGACAGACAGGATCAAAAGAAAGTGCCCAGGATGATCAGCTAATTCCACCTCTGAAACTTCAGTTTCTTCGGGGATTCTTTAATAAGTTTCAAGGAGTAAGACATGCTGAACTTAACTCCTCACAAAAATATTTCTTCCTATTGAAAAGAACAGATCTTCTTAAATTACAGGAGGTATTAAGTAATTTTTAAACCTGATAAAGTAAGATTCCAATTTCAAGAACTTTTAATAGCTTCTTCTCATAGACTTTAAATTTGGTGAAAAACTCACAAAATGCCCTCCAAGACAAAGCAAACAAAAAAGCCCTTGTTTCTGGATTATTTCCCAGAGAACAAAGACTATGCTAGTGTTAAAGCTAAATGTGCCTCTGTCAGATGTCTCTGTCCCAGCTTTGTACCCCTACGCCTGTTTTTTTTTTTTTTTCTGAAAAGATAAAGAAATGAAAAATATGCTCTAACAAGGTTCAAGTCTCTTTCCTAACTTATTTATCGAGTGTTGAAGTCCAAGTTCCAACACGATTGTTATTTGGAGTAAAAAACTTATCTCTGAACTTCCAAAATAGGCACATTAAGCCACATGTACATTGGCTACCTGCTCCCATCCCCCCTCCCTCCCCCGACTTTTATTTTAAAGATACCTTTTGCATGATGGAGGCTAAAAGGTGGCAGCTGTGCCAAAGTAGTGGACCCTAAATCGCTGAGCAAAAATGAGAGAGGGGAGGCTCTGATTGCTCACAGTACAGGAGTGAATATGCGCTCTCAACCACAAATCAAGCAAGCTGAAAAAAAAAAAAAAAAAAAGACCCAATCAAGGCAGTAATGGCCTCCACTTCACAATCAGACAAGTGTTCTTACTTGAAAATCCTACCATTTATAGCTGATTGCTAACCCTGGCCTCATTCTAATCTAAAGGGCGTAATAATTTGGAAAAGGAATTATAACAACTTCCCAACAATTTAGCAAATTGTTATTATTTCAGGGGGAGGGGAGGGTGGAAAGGAGTTGCTTTTGTAACACATTTCTCTTGTGGACTACCATTTTCATGGCATCAAATCCATTGCTCCCATGGTAAAATACAACTAATATATATTGGAATATTTTTTTAAAAAAATAATAAAAATACAATAAAGAGAGAAGGCGATACTGTGTGCCTTATCACGTTTCAATATGGTCAAAGTTATGGCCTCCAAAGAATAAAAGGGGAAGAAAGCTGTGAATTCTTTTGCACGCATTTACCTATAATATTCCCAAATAAGTGTGGTGATTATCCTTGGCCTTGAGTATCACCCTTTGGAAAGAATGACCTTTCAGAGAATTTGACTTCATAAAAAACACAATACCTTTAAATGCTCCACTGGGTTTTCCTTTCAGTGTTGATGAATTTGTTCAGTAAGGTTTCTCTTACTAGAAATATTGCAATATGTAGGCATCTTTTACATTGTTATTTTTTATCTTCTACATTAGAATGTGTGTGTGTATATATATATATATATATATATAGAGAGAGAGAGAGAGAACGCTAATCATTTCATTAACATTTTAATCCATAGAATGAATTACCTTTAACATAGGTACTGTGTTGGACATTAATGTAATTGTTTTCCACTGAGAAAGACACACACATGTGTATATGATATTCTCTTTACAAAGCAACTAAGCATGCATATTCAATATAATATTGTATGAAAAAGAAAATTGGCTATTAGAGTAGGGGACGAGAGAGTATATTGAATCACAGACCTAGGAAAGATAATAGAGGCCACC